ATATGATATTTGGTTGGTAGTTTTTATTTTTTCATAAATAATACATATATAAGTTATTTATATATGATGTATTATTTTATTTGCGGTAAAATTAGTGGTATTAACTAGGAATGTTCAAGGTTATGGTTAAAAAATCAAATCGAACCGCAATTCGAACCAAACCGATTAAAAAAAGATAGATATTTGGTTGGGTTTGGTTAGATTTGGTTTTAAATTTTGAAAACTGATATTATTTGGTTTGGTTTTGGTTTTACTAAAAAAACTGCAAAAATAACCAAACTGAACCGATAAATTAGATATATAAATTTTATAATTATTTATATCTGATTCATAAATATTTTAATTATTTTATTAAATTTTAATTAACTTAAGTCTTTAACTTTATAATTTTCTCAAACCCAACTATAACAATCCTAAGTCCAAGTGCATGAAAATCCATTTTAGTCTTTACCTACCATACTTCACATAAAATAGCCACACTTTCTCTTAATTGAAACACTTTTTCCGTGTAATGATAACTCTAGTATTGCTTAATTGCTTAATTGAACCGACAACAGTTTTTCTGTGGATTGTTCATGTGCTAGATGTTTGTGTCTATCGACGTCAGTCCGAAAAAAATTACTATTACTTTCAAACCGTATAAACCAGAATAACTAAACCAAACCAAACAAAACCGACAATAACCAAACCAACAGTTATTTTTTTCGTTTGGTTTGATTTGATTTTAAAATTTTAAAAAATTGACTAGATTGATTTGGTTTTGGTTTTAACCAATAACCGATTTAAACCAAACTACGAACACCCCTAGTATTAACAATAGATGAATTAACTTCTAAAATGCTATAACTAACTCTCACAATAGTAAGGTAGTTTTTTAAAAAATAAGTAATTGCTTAAACTATACATTATATACTAATTTGTCATATGTAAAATCTCTGAATTACTAATAACTATATTTTTGATACCTAGGAAAATACAATTTCTTAGTTCTGTACTAATTCTCGTATTACCAATCACTGCATTTTCAAGCCAACTGCCACATTGGGGATTTGAAAGTGGGCTGCCCAATTCTCTAAGTCGGACTTGGGTAAAAGTTCGCCAGAACAAGGCCCAACTATGTCCTCTCCCGTGCAATAGAATATGAGAGAATCAAAATGAAAATATGATGATTGATGCAACTTTTTAAATGTTGCTTTGGTCAAAGATTTGAGCCCACTCTTGTAACAAAAGAACAAGTCATGCAGAGAGAGAGACAACAAGCCGATTGATTTGCACAAATTATGGAGTGGACATTTCTTCTATTTTATTTAAGTTTGTTTTATCAAACTCATGAAGTCCAAATAACATTATTTTATAAACATGTGTCTAGGTTCTTTCAAATGTATCGCTTTCAAAACAATATGAATGAATTGTCTTGTTTTATGCGTTTGTGTTTCATATCCGTGAAGCATTTCACCCTCTCAAGAAAGTAGAAAGAGTTTTATTGCTTCATACTTCGAAAGTATGTCCTATTTACTTTTGCAGCCCATTTTGGGTGTCCCAACCCACTTTGAGTCTCGTAATTTCATTCTCAAGGAAGGGTAAATGTGGATCGCTCAGTCAATAAATTTCTGGCGGACACCACAGGCTTCCCTTTTCTTTTTCCAATTTCCACTCATAAGAAACAGAAAATTGAACTCAAATCTTCAAGCACAAGTATCTTTTTTTAAAAAAACTTTTTATGTTATAATATCCCATGAATTTAAACGATATTTATTGAATCAAATTACTTATAAGATCAGTTGCACTTCAAAAAGATTAATCTCTTGAAAACTCTATAATCAAATTCTTTTTTGAAGATTGAATCAAACAAAACATTTGTGGTCCTTTAGTTTCGGTCAGTTGTTATCTAGAGAGAGTAACATGACTAAACAACATTGGCAGAAAAGGCACGAGTGAAGTTGGACTCAAAAAGGGGAAAAGCATTTAGGGTTAAACAGCAAAATACAAGCAAACAAATTAGAAAAAAATAATTCCTTTTAAAGATTGGTGGAAGTTTGGTCTAGGTTATGTCACACAACTTTAGCGTGACAATTTTGACAAATCTGTAAAATGAAACACGCCACTAATTAAGGGGAGATGCTAATCTTCTAGCAATTCTTTTGTATTTATACTCTATTCTCAGTCAATCAAGCCACTCTTTTTATATTTTTTGTCAAATGTATCTTTCGTTTGGAACTGGAAAATCATAGGTTGAATGATGACCCAGAAAGCACTGTCCACACTTGTCCATAAATTCTTAAAATATGAGAGGACTTTTGCCTTTTGAATTATTGGTTGCCTTATAAGGACGGATTAAGACACTTTTATTTTACATCAACAACAACATAACAACTGAAATTCTACAAATGAGGTCTGGGGAGATAGAATGTACACAGACCTTATCATTACATCAAAACTATGAAATAAGAAAATGGACGGTTAAAAAAACTCCATAGTGACTGACAACTTATCCCATTGTTTTTGTGTATGGGATTATAAAACTTTGTTTACTATTACAATAAACTATCAAATACATTAATACTGAATTAAATAAACATCCAAAATTCACAGGACTTGTGTCTAAGTAACCTCATTTTAATCCTACAGTAAAAACATGAGGTTATTCGTTTTTTGTTTTTCTTTCACACGAATTCTTCACTGTCTTCAGCTGGAAAATCGAAATTTAACGGAGAGACAGGGGAATTACTTTTGATATCATCATGCATGAATCCGAAGTTACGTAGCACCTGATTATCCGCAAAGTTCAACGCTCGCTCCATTCCCACCCAACATGAATCACCCACATACTCCGCCGCGTGGTCCCCACTACATGGCTGACACCCCGTGAAGTGCGTGATAAACGGCCGCCTCCATCCGCCCTTTCCGTCCTCGCCCTCCGCCAACAACGGCTCCCTCGCCTCCGCGTAGCTGTCGCTCACTGCCTCCGCGTGTCTCCTCCGTAACTTCGGTACATCTCTCTCTATCTTCGTGTAATTCTCTGTTATTTTGTCAAATCTGTTTACTATTCCTAGCCAGTAGCCGTGTAGAGAGTAATCAGTGATTGCGTGAATTTTGCTCCGCCATTTTCGTTCTCCTTTCAGTATTAAATAGCTCAGTGCTGATTGGTCATCGGACTCCGGGAACGTTTTGTCCTTGAAAGTTGTTCGTAAGATTTTGCCCCATTGCTTGTATTCTGGGCTTTTCGGGCCCATATTAGCCCAAACATCTAAGAAATCCATAGACCATTGACAGTTTCGGATAAGAAAAATCCCAGCATTTATAGCGACCCAGCTTTTCTTCTTAAAAATCAAATCAGGCCAGCCATGGACGATGAAGTTGTAGTCATTGTATTTGTGTAATGGAATTTTGAAATCCATATCAGTGAAAATTGCATCTGAATCAATCCATAGAATCCACTCGGATTCAGGATGAGCCAGCATGGCGGCCCGAACAAGCGGTATTTTGGCCCAATAAGAACGCATTTTAGGGTGAAAAAACGTGTTTCCGTAGAAAATATCGTAGCCATGGATTCTACAGTAATCAACTTTGTTTTTGAAAAACCTTAAGAGTAAATGATCACCTCTAGGGTTTTTGCATGGAGTGGGCTGTGATCCTGAGAGGAGGAGCACACGGTTAACTCTTCCGGCGGCGAACGAAGGATGAAGCTTCAGCCACTGAACTCTCTTTTCGTCCCAATTTTTGATTGGTTTGTTAATAGTGTAACTGAGTTCCGGTTCATCGTAGAATGTTTTCTCCGGCGGGTCGGAACTCCGGTCAACCGCTTCTCGTCCCGGTGGGCAATAATCCGGTGAACTAATACTCTGACTGTATAACAAACCTGATAAATTAGGCAAAGGATCAGTAAATGACCAAATAGCACAGACAAGTAAAACCGCAACTATGGCGGCCGCGAACAGAGATTTGTCTCTCGGAGAAGACGATTGCTGTTTGGCCCGAAACACGTTATGGGCCATGGCCCGTGTAAATGAAAAAGAAAGATACTGAAAATATGGTATGTGAGTGAGAGAAGTGAGAAAGTCTCAAGGTCACAAGGAATGCAATGTGTGCTTTAAATGCTTTGTGAAATTTAATGTATGACTAGTAGTAGGAGAAATAACAATATGGAGGTAGTATTATATATTAGTGAGCTGGATGAATCTGACTGGTCATTTAATTTAGGGGTTGGGTAAGGAAAGTTATTGAAAATAAAAATATGGCAGAATCAAAGAGAAAGGAATAATATTTAGTAATATAATAAAGTTGGGCCTAGCATCTCATAAGGAAGCTAAGATCTGTAATTAATTCCCTCATTTGCTTTGCTTATAAAAAAATAAAAATTGACAAAATGGGCAGGGACTGATTGAATAAGAAGATTTTTAATGCCAAGAGGATAGGTAGGAGTTTTTAATCTATCTAGGGGTTGAGATTTGTGAACTGCTGAGACTGTTTCCATGTGCAACATGAATTTGTACGGGGAAGAGGAATTTTAGTTTCTAAATTCTTCCATTTTATGACTTTGGGTTGAGCAAATTAAGGACGGAGACTTGATTCTCACGCCAATCTTTTTTTAAGAAATATTTTTCTTGTGATTTTCGAATATGTTGCTGCATATAAGTAAAAGATTGTGTGAGTAACTCAATCACACAGGCGAAAATCTTGTGAACACTATTTTTTCACGGTACTTTAATACCGCTATAATTGTTGAGTCGTTTTATGTGATAGGCTGTGAAAATGATTTTTGGTGTTGAGCTAGACCACTTATTATGATATCATATTTAGGAGACTCTCATATTCAGACTCATCTCAATTATTAATCTATTGAGTGATGGACATTTTTTCACTTCTAAAACATTTGTACAAATTACAATATTCATACTTTTTCCTTTTCTAGATATAATCCTTTGAACAGACCAAGCAATTGTATTTCCCTCCCCCCCTGTTTTGTGTTTTTTCTTTATTACTACTATAATAATCCTTGAAACAGAAGTGGTCACTGTTTGGTGTTATTATTATCACTATTTTTACCTATAATTTTGCTCTTTACTGTTGACAATTTTTCTTCATAATTTGAAAAAGTGGTAGTTTCCACTTTCCACAAGAGCAATAGTGCATATATTTATTACCTTAATAAGGTGCAACTTTTCTTGTGGCGGCTAGCGATAGTAGGAACAAGAATTGTAATATGTTAATATTATTGACTAATGATAAGTAATAGAGCATTGATTTTTGGGGATAAGAAGAAAAACAATCTTAAATGGGTGCACACCCCACCTCTTAGTACAAAATAACAAGAAAAGGATCTGCCTCAGCAGTTTACGCCATACCTTCCGCTAAGCTAAGATCCTTAATTCCTGGAGTTGACTTCCTCTCTTACTTTGTGGAACTGCTTATCAACTATCCAAAAATAGTTATCTTTATCACTTAATATGATTTTGTGATAAAAAAAATAAATATATGCTAGCATTTATTAGTTAGTGTAAATATCAGAAAATCACAATTTTGGCCTGTTTGGGAATCAAAGTTTAATTTCGATATTTTTAAATACAAGTTTAGTAATATTGAAATTAAGTTGTGAACTAGTGTGAGAAGCATTTAAGAGAAATTAATACTTTCAGTAGGCAGCTGCTCCTTTGGTGGAAAGATAAGGAACCAGTGAGGGTTGTGGTGATGAATAAAATCCCTTAGAAGATTTTATTTTGAGTCCTACAGATGGAAAAAATAATCCTATTACGATATGTTTCTCCTTTAAATGAACCTCACGCGGTCGAATTTGGATTAGCTAAAGCCACAAGTGGAGCTAGTAAAGGCCCATGGTTCATCCGAACCTGATGTTGAGCCCCCTATGACTTCTTTGTATGTCTACCTTTTCATATTTTAAACCCCTTCAATGAAAAAATTCTGACTCCACCACTGATGGGTTTCCGATGAAGATAGCGGACAGTAGATGGAAATCCTAAAACCAGATAAGGAACAGTGGAGATCAATTCTTCCTACGGCCTCACAAATCTTACGAGTTACACCCACCAAACAAACTGTCCCATTTACAGGCGGGGCGAATTGTGTCTGGACAAGGTTCTTCAATCACAATTCACAGCCCAGATAAATGCCCAATAGCCCAAACTAAGAGTGCATAATGTAATCCATGATAAGTTTTCATGATCAGCGAATCAGAAGTTCCCATCCTTCTTTATGGAGTAAAATTATTAGTTCGACTAACAACGTTTTCATACTTACAAATATTGAAATCCATGCTTCTTTTCTGTTTCCTATCCTTCTAATGTTTTTGCCTCCAATAACATTTTGAACTTGAGGCCACGTGATTCTCAATCCACTTCATTGAGTATCTGACCACACACATGTTGTCTTCAAACTCTGAAAATTCTTAAAACAAGGTTTCTCCAACATTCATTAAGCTATATGTCATCAAAATAATATGAATATAAGATAATTTACAGTACTAGAAGATAACAAATCATTAAATTAACTACTATTAAGTGAACATTTGCAACTATATATAAGTATCCTAAACATGAACACACAGTTCAAAAATAAAAAAAACATGCCTCAGAGTTATGAAAAAATAACACAACCTCTTAAAAATTTTGTCAGCAGTTGTATCAAATCCGATTTCAAAATTTTCACTTTGCAATGACCCTTCTTTAAGCAGTCAGTCAAGTTTTCTTATCCCTCGGCCAAAGAAATGGAGCTTTCAAGTCTTGTTGCCATCCCCAGTTGACTTTGAGCTGCCACCAACCAACCGTTAAGCCATTCTTCTTTGTTTTTGTTTGTTTTGTTTCAAGAAAGAATCTGCATCATCTGAACAATGGACAACCACAATTATTGCTACACTTCACTAGCTAAAAGTTCTATACATAGACGGTTAAAGTACACTAACAGGTGTAAAATTTTATTTCCACTTCCATTTAGTGGCAGAGCCAGGAATTCAAAAAAAAATGTTCTCCTGTCAAAGAGATTCAACTACTTTCATATATATGCAAAAAAAATCATTTTTTCCCTCTCTACATTGTGTAATTTTTCAACCAAGGGGAGGGGGTGTTCAATTGACCCCTTGCACCCCTCTGGCTCCGGCCCTGCTTCCACTAGATATAAGTTACTATATTCAAAGTGAAATATAAGGAGCTAGACAAGAAAACTATAGCTATTGAGATTATTTTTTTCTAACTCCTCAAAGCCTACCTGTCTCATTGGCATTTTGTCGAACACCTTGCGGTGGCGCACTCACATTTACATCCTCACGATCAATCTCTTCAGTAGGCAACAACGGCCCTATTATATTCTGGCGGCGTGTGGAGGCTTCCTTAAGCTTCTTCCGTCGAATCTTCTTCCTCTGTGCCCTTGTGAGCTTCTCAGGCCCATGATCAGTCTCCTCCTGGTCGCCAGAGGAGGAAGAACCCCTATCCTTTTCCAGTTGATCTACACATAATACCCAATTACTTCAAATACATTTTCCAATCAAAATTATACTCATGTTAGCAAGAAAACCTGGAATTTGATCGCCTTGTTCGAGAATGTCAAATGGTTCGTCGTCACTGTTTTCTTCCTACAATTGTAATACTAGAGTCAAGTAGTATGAAAAAAAGAAAAGAGTAATGATGGAGAAAATTAATTACTTGGGAAGGAGGTGATGGTGGAGGAGGATAGAGCATCCTAAGGAGCCCTTCATGGAGCTTTTGCCGTTTCTCTTCTCTCTTCATACCTTTGCTAAATTTGGTTTTCGCACTTTTAATTTGTTCTTCACTTCCCAATTCAAATACTCCGTAGTCCGTACTTACTACTATATCCTAATAGAGACTCTTTTCTCTTCACAAAATTATACAAATATTGGAACTTAGATACAAATATTGATACAGTTATATTTATTGATATAAATTGTATTTGTTGTAATTATGATATATTTACATAATAATTACATATATACAATTATCTCGTAGATATACAAATACAATTTATCTCTCTCCTTTCTCTGCCCTCTCTTGCTGCTCGCCTCTCTCCCCTTTAAATTATAGTTATTTTACTTGATTATATTTTTAGTCTTAGTGATTTTTGAAATCTTTATACTTGTTACAATTAAAGACCAACACAAAAAAGGAATAGAAGTCCAAATGGACCCCTTTCCGTCAAATGAAGAAGCCCATTTCGTAGTCACTAGGGAGTAGGAGTGCTTCATTCAGCCCATAAAAATTGATCAACCGTGTCCAACAAGATGTTCAAACAGTATAATCATAATTCATAAGATATTTCACCAAAAAGGAGATTGCTAAAATGCTTGTTGGATTAGTAAGGTTAAGGGATAAACGATTATAAACTTAGACAATGTTGACAGTTGATATAAAGCTAAGAGTACTCTTTTCTTACTTTTGCATTATAAGTTATTTCACGGAGAATGCCATATCTTTATGTACACGTTGAAATGTAACATGAAAACTTAGCAAGTATTCGTTTATTTATCTTTCATTTGGAAGTACGAATTTGAACTTTTGACCCCAAAGGACTCCTGATCCCGAAACAAAGAGAGTCCGGCTCTCTTTTTTGGCTCATTCAGATGAAGAAATTCCGTGAAGATGACGAGAGATGCCGCCTACTCTTTCCGTTCCTTCTCTTTCAGAGTGGAGCACTCCTCTTTGTTCTGTTCCTTTCTAATAAAAGTTTGGTACGTGTTTTGAGCGAGCCTTCACGCGAGGTGAATGGTACATGTAAAGTGGAATCTATTTGTCTTGGCTTCCAACTCATTAACTCACATAATTTTTACTTTTATGCATTAATCAATAACGTAAATTTTAAAATTAACATGCCCTCATCGTTCACTATAAGTGAAATTAGTAATTTTAAAAAATAATATAAATGACATGTTTAATAGATATGTCTAGTTTTTTAAAAATAATTAAATTCATTGTTTTTTCGAGAAAAGACATCAAGTCACCACTGAAGTTGTCCCGAATTTTCAAAAAAACACTTTAACTTTGCGGACGTCCTATTACCTCATAAAAGTATTGAAATATTATTAATTTAGAATTAAAATATTATATTACATTTAAATAGAATTACGAATATTAGAGATTTAATTCATGGCCTTATATGAAAAATAATATGTTGATTACAAAATAATAGAAATAATGAAAAAGTGAAATAGAGAGTGTGAATAATAGTTCTCCAAGTTTGGAGAACTACTATTCAACTCGTATATGGAGAATAAAGAGTGCAATAAAAGGGTGGTTGGAGAGCTTATTCTCTATTTTACTCCAAATAGAGAGTAAAATATAGTGGGATTGGAGATGGTCCTAATACTTTTATGGGGTAATAGAAAGTCTACAAAATTAAGGTGTCTTTTTTAAAATAGGACAACTTTAGTAGTGATTTTATGTCTTTTTTTTCTTTCTAAACTTATTTATTGCTGTACATCCAGTTCCAATTGTTTGTATGATTTATATCATTTCCATTTTGTTTGGGAGAAGTTTTTCTATAAATAGGATATGTGGGGGGGGGGGGGGGGGGGGGGGGGGGGGGTCTAAACAAAAGTGCAAGTCATTATGATTTGCTGAATTAATTAGCTAATGCTGCAGTTAATATAGCAATTAAATGTGTCATGATTATATCAACCACAATACTTTTTATTTTAAAAGAATGGTTGTGCCCACAGCATATTGCGGCTGAGCAATTAACAAAATTAAATAAGAATATCATCAAAGCCTTCATTCTTAAATATTTTTTTTCCTCACTCGAAGTCTCATGTCCGCATCGAAGGTCCAACAATATTAGGATCATGCACTACTCTTATTAAGAGTAGAGTAGTTTTACCATAGCATCAAATCCATATTGCCGTCTTTCTTGATTATTCCCTTCTATCATTATTAGACGATCACAACTGTCACGTTCTGAGCCTACACCCTGGAAGGGACTGGCACTCGAGAATCATTGATGGTCCCAAGCGAACCCTTGGCCTGGCTTACTTACTCAGCAAAAAACTTAAACACAAGAAATAGTCTCAAATAATGAACTTATGAAATAAACTTAGAATGTCTTTAAAGAAACATTCAAACTAGCCAAGATGACTACTCAAGTCTCAAAACATAAACCAATAATAAAGTAGTGACAAATGAACTAACTGACTGACTATCTATGAAGCCTCTAATAATTGAGATGGATGTCGGGACAAGACCCACGACATCCTAATGTACTAAATACTGAAAGCAATAAAAGGGATCATCCGGAAGCAAGAAGGCTCACCAACAACTCTGGAGCTCAACTAAAAACGATGCGCTGGATGCTGATCCTGGTTACCTGTATCTGTATCATTAAAATGGCATCAGTACATTGAATGTACGAGTATGCGAGGAAAATTCTAAAACAGGATATACGCTTGAAAAGAACTGAAGAACAAACCTAGTTTCAACTCAACTGAATTGAACTGAACTCATTTCAAAGTAAAGCAATAATAAACAAGTGCAATATAAAAAAACGTTTTTTAAAACATGGATAACAACTCTGTGAATTTAGAAATACAATAGTGACTCTCTATGTATGGAAAGATACAATATAAACTCTTAAATGTATATAAAAATACAAAATATTGTTGTGGGAGTTTCTCTAACCGACAACCATCACTTAAGAGCTATTGTGATGATACAACGTTTTGCCTCACGCTGCCAGGGTCGTCCTATACCTTGCTGAGGGTATAGAACCTTACTACTAAGTGGATCCACTAGTCTATGCTAAAAAACACTGAGGAATCATCTAAAAAAGTATGACCCTTTTTTACCCATGATGGCTACATAGTTTATGGGGGCTGGGAGTTGTCTGAACTCTCCGCCATATCGATGCTCAGTACTACTCCCAAAATATATTACTAGTTCTTATGTTTAAAAACATACTTCTTTCTGTGGTTTGAGATAATTGCTCAAAACTTAGCTTAAAGGCTGTTTTGGAAAATAAAGTTTCCTCTCTTGCTTAATTGTGAATGCAGTTACTCTTTTCTGAAAACTAGCTCAAAAGTTCTTTGGAAATCTCAATTTCCTTTCTTATTTAAAGGTGAAAACATTTTAAACTCTTTGGGAATACATAGTCCCCATATACTTTTGAAGAAATGAACTTCAATCTTTACTCTTTACTCAACTCAAGTCTTAAAACAAAGTTGAAACGTTTGTAAAAGACTTTTGGAAGACTCTAAGAACTTCTCTTGACTTGACTCTTAACTTTCCTTGAATTGAATTATGGATTCAAGGTTCATGATCTCATGTTATGGATGATTTCATGTTTTTAAGACGTACCTTAGAGTGTAGAATTCAACTAGAAACATAGGTACGTTTCAAGGGAACTAGTACGGAAAGAAGTGGGAAGAAGTAGTGTTGACACCCAATTTTTGACCGACCTTTAGCAATTTCGAAAATGCTATTCGATTAAATACGTATTTTCAAATATATTTCAAGTTTAAAGTTTAGTCAAATTTTTATCTAAAAATTATACATTTAGTATGCTTGATTTGTAAAAAATATTAAATTATTTATTATTATACTTATCGATAGTTAAACCCGAAATAATTACTTTTATTTAAATATTTTAAAATCTTAGATGTGTTACAATTATATGAAGATATTTTAATATGTGTAGTATTTTTTATTAATTGAATAGCCTTTTCTTAATTTTCCTCAAAATCATTTTAATGTTAGCCTATTTTATTCTAATTCCTTTTGATTCTAGCCTATTCCAATTTCAATCGTATTGCAATTATAGCCACCCTTTCATGTCAATTCTAGCCATTCCTATTTCAATTTTAGCCTTTCTTATTCCAAATTCAAATTCCAAGTGATTTAATCTCATCCGTCCATCTTTTAAGTTAGGTCCAAGATCGAATCCTAGCCCTTCATCTCTAATTAAATCAATGGTCCAGATTAAACCTCCAAAACCTTCCTATTCTAGGAAAAAACTCTGAACCCTAACATTTTACTCTATTCTCTCCTCTCCACTCTAGCAGCCGCCTCTCAACTCTCCTCTCCATCTTTCCGGCGAAAATTGCCACCACTTGCTGGTGGCAGCTGTTTCTCTCTCCCTCTCTTCGTTGCTCCCCTCTCCTTCCTCTCTCCTCTATTTTTCGACAAGGTAGGGAGCATCGGCGAAACCAGCAGCTCCGGCAGCAGCCAGGCGACCGCCTTCTCTCCCTCTTGGCCGTCAAGCAGCAGCAACCAGCAGCTCTGGCGAACAGCAACCAGCAGCAGCCAGCAACTCCAGCGAGCAGCAGCCAGCAGCAGTTCCAATCAGCCACCAGGCGAGACCACGACGAGCAGTAGCTCCAGCCAGTGAGAACAGCCAGCCACCAGCGAGCTCCGAAGGCAGCAGCACGGACCAGCGACAAAAGATGTTCTAATTTCATGAACTAGGTGTTCAAACCTTGCCAAAATATCATTTAATCCGATTTAGAACGTCAATATATCTCCTTGATAATTGCTAGTTTGTAATCTGCTACTTTATAGATGTTAGCACTCTTAATATTATAATTTGGCTTTGACTTGGAATGTCAATATATTTCTTATTATCTATTTCTCCATAAACAGTGGAATATCCCTGTTTTTTTTTTATATTATTGGATTTGTTAGTTCTTGATTTAAGGGGATAAGTTGGAATGATAACTATTGCCCTTAATTGAGTGTCTCTTTAATTGATCATGCGTTAATCCAGTCTGGCTTCAAACCTTTAAAAAAATAGGATTTTTGTGAATCGGTGCTCTATTTAAAATTTGGTTAAATTGTTAAATCGTGTATTTGGAGTTGTACGATATTGTCCTTCCTTAATTAATTGTCCCTTTCACTGATGAAGTTGATAATCCTCATTTTAGTTGATGTCTTAACACT